CTTGGCTCTACCCCTCCCATTAGAATTTTTCAAGAGGGCTGTGAAAAAGTTTCAGAGCCAAGGAAGGTTTGGAAATAAAGGACTCCAAAGAGTCTTAGTGCTGGCCTAAGTGGATCAGTGGATCAGGTCATGGAGGAAATGGCATCACAATGGGGCCCTGAAGGATGGGTGTTATTCTTGTGAAGCGAGAGAAGGCTGGGGACATTCTAGGTAAAAACAACTGGATAAGCAACATGTCACAGCCCATTATTTCCTATTCAGAAGACAGTTCAGCAGCATTTTCTGTTTCTGGATTAGCACAAGTAAAAGGGAAGAGTGGGAGATAGAGATAGATTGGGACAAACTTGGGAAGGACCTTGGATGCCATCAGAGGGAGTTTGAACTTTGTTCTTTAGGCCATCATATCTAGAACTAATGGAGCTGCTTTATGGAGGGGACATGAGATGAGGCTGTGGAAGGTTTGGGGACCACCAACTTGGGGGAGATGCTATTTCTCTGGCAATTTTATCATTCACTGTTTTTTTTCCTCTGTGGAACTCATTAGTAGTGCGTGGAGAAATGAGGATGTTGCTTAAGTTTGGGACTGTACCAGCAAAGACCAGAGAGATCCCTGAGTAAGAGTCAGTAAACAAGAGGAAGATGTGTGTGTGTGTGTGTGTGTGTGTGTGTGCATGTGTGTGTGTGTGTTTGTAAAACTAAAAATGTACTTTTGCCCTTTGCCCCTTTTAGCAACAGTTTCTCTCTCTCTCTCTCTCTCTCTCTCTCTCTCTCTCTTTCTCTCTCATATCTTTAAAGCCACATATAGAGACTTGGTAGGACTGTGGGATTGGAAGAATTCCTAGGGTTTAGAGGTAGAGGACCCTTAGAAAATATAATTTCAGGGGTCTTTATCTTGAAGTCTATAGATTTTTGTGAGTGTGTTTAATACTTTTATTACTGTATTTCAATACAATTCCCTTCCTTTGTAATCCTATGAATTTAATTTTATGCATTTATAGTAGAATTCACCAGACTGTCAAGAGGGTGCATGATACAATAAATGGTTAAAAATCCATTGTTCTAGAGATAGAGAGCTGACCCCTTCATTCTACAGAAAGGGAAACTGAAGTTTGGGGGGTTCAAGTGATTTGTCCAATGGTATGTAGACTGTGCCTGCGATGTGAATCTAAGTCTTCTGACTCTAAACCCCACATTCTTATCACTGTACCCCCTTGTCTAAATAACCTCTCCTACAAGCATATGCAGATAACCAGGCTTATTTTCACAGGAGTCCTGTTAATATTCATCGGCTAGAAAGATTTCTAGGAAGTGGCTAAAGGCTAGGTGTGGTTCCTAGCCAAACTGCTACCTTTACCAGGGTGCCCTTCAATTTCCTCTTGAAAATTCCATTGTGTTAATTTAGCAATTGTATCTCACCTTCAAAGAAGACAGATTTTGTGTTTGAGGGACCCCTAATGTGAGAGGCTTGGGTGCTGACTCACTGCATCCATCCCCCAGGGGGTCTCTCAGACTTGAAGATGCAGGGAGACCTGACCAGGAAATTAGAGTGTAGAGTTCTATGCTATATTTGGCCCAGCAAGGCCTCTAGGTCTGGTATCACCAGTGTTCAATCTTTTGTGAGTGTAAAGACTTTTTGGGGGTAAAGAAAGCTTAAGATGTTTAAAAAACACTATAGAGCCCAGCCTTTAGTCATCTGAATGTACTTGGCTCCAATACTGCTTTCATTGTGACTGCAGCACACCCACCCTTTCTCATCATCTGAAATACATCTGTGTGGAAGAAGCCTGTTGGCTAGGTCCCTCCATCCACCCCCTTCTCCTTTGTTGTTTGTTTTTCGAACACATGTTGAACTGGGGAGGGACAAGCAAGGATAAAATCATTTTCTTTTTGCCCATCTGAACCTTTGCCAGAGATTCACTGGTTCAGTAAAGATTCATATTTAATATTTCAATGGAATGGTTGGTGAAAGATGCCCACCATCTAGCCATTCATCTATCTCTTCTTCTTCTTCATCAAATATTTGTCTATGAATTGAAAGGCTGTGTGGTTCAATGGAAGGTCATTGGGAACAGGTGTTGAATCTCTACTGTTCTTTGTGTCTGAAACACCCATCATAGTACCTCATACATAGCTGGTGCTTAATAAGTTTCTATTGACTGCTGATTATTAGCAAATGTGGTTCACTCTGTATATCAACAATGACTTCTTCCAATCATTTCATGTTCTGTTGGTGAGGGGCTCTTTTTATAACTTCAGAATGTGAGATGAAATTCAGTCAGGCTCCATGAGGCAGATGTTACCTTATGTTGGGAATAGACCTTCCCAGTTGTCAAAACACTTTTGTGGTGATTTTCTCACTTGGTCATTTCAATATTCAGTAACAATCTACTCTTGGGGGCAGAAGTAATTTTGTGTCGTTGAAAACTGGGGTAACCTTTGGCAGGGCCAAACAAGATATAAAGATTTCAAGTGTGAGCCTGGGAATGGGCTGCATGCTTTGTCATCCAAGAACTAGCCTAGTCTGTTTATCAAAGGTTCACCATCAGGGGGGTTGGTCATAACATAATAAATCTTTTGGCCACACCAACTCTTGAAAACAGCCCATCAAATTATTGACAGATGTGATTGCTAAATCATTGTCCATTATATTTGAAAGACCAGGCAAAATAAAAGGGGAACCAAACGTGTCTAAACCACTTGATCTAGCAAGCCCCAGATGATACTAGACTGTACTTGATATCTCAGCTAGCAATCCCTCCCCCACCCAGTTACCTTGCTCTACCTTGCATATCATCTCCTTCCACTTTTTTGCTTTGGGCTCATTAGTAAAATAAATACTACTTTTCCTTCCAGAAAGAGCATAGAAGTTGGAAGTCTTATGTATCAACCTAATCTTTTCTGTGACTTCCAGACCCAAACTTCTTTCTCTGACAACTACTTTATCATTAATTTTGTCCTTACCTATAAGAATATAAGCTGGGGTAGCTAGGTGGCACAGTGGATACAGCTACAGACTTGGAGTCAAGAGGACCTGAGTTCAAATCCAGAATCAGACACTTGACACTTACTAACTGTGTGACCCTGGGCAAGTCACTTAACCCCAATTGCTTCACCAAAAAGCAAATATATATGTGTGTATATATATATATATATATATGTATGTATGTATATATGTATGTATGTATGTAAAATAAATTCCATGTTGACAGAGATTGCCCATTAATGGAGTGATCACACATGTCAACATATTCACAGATCCTTTAGGCCCAGAAGAATTCATCATTTCAGTAACTCTGACAATATCTCTATCATTAACCCATGCCTGAAAAAAGGCAAGGCAAGAAGTAAAGAAGGTATGTACTGGAGTGGGGAAAACACTGGGCTAGGAATCAAGAGATCTGTATTCAAGTGTTGCCAAGTGTGGCCACTGGAAGCCATACAAAAATATCTTAGCCTCTCTATGTATCTCCATTTTATAAATGGAGGATAAGCAACATGGTCCGCAACTTAGAAATCTCAGTCTAGTATTGAGTTTTCAAGAATGTTTGATGCAGTGGTAGTGATGATCCAATCAACAAGCAATCATTCAGCACATACAGTGTGCCAGCCTTATGCTAGGTGCTGGAAAAACAAACAATTACCCCTGACATAACGGAGCTTGCCACATTACAGTACTACAGTACATCTAAGGCCTTACCAGAATGCCTTAGCACAAATTCTCAAAATGGAAATGAACATTTTTCCTTCACAATATATCACCACCTTTTTTAAAAACAGTATTTATTTAGTATCTTATTTTCCCCAGTTCCATGTAAAAACAATTTTAACATTTATTTTTAAAACTTAGAGTTCCAAATTTTCTCCCTCCACCCCCTTTAAGAAGGCATGCAATTCAATATAAGTTACACATGTGTAGTCATGTAAAACATTTCCGTAATAGTCATGTTGCATCACCAACTTTCTATGAAATGAATCAGATAGGGTGATTAGCAAGGAAATTAGGGGTTTGATGTAATGCATGAAAAACTTATAATGTACTTGCAAGTTTAATAGAATCAATAGGGATGATTACTGAAGGAGAAGGCAAGGGATTTTTTATCTGACTTAAAACATCATAGATTAAATGCTACATAGAGGGTAAAAATGTAAATTTTATCATTAATTTATATAAAAAAACATTCTGATGTATGTGCAGAGTGAGGGCTTCATGCAGGAAGCAATTTTCATGGGATAATCCTGTTCAATTTCTATCTGCAACATGTCAATATTGACCTGCAAAATCTGAAGCTATCAGAATGGGGGAGACCTCAACATCCACCTAGCCCAGCCTTCCTGGGCTAAGAATCTTCTTTAGATGCCACCACAGAAAGTAGACAGCAGGATGGTGAAGGGAGAGGGGTGCAGTGGACTTGGTCATTATTGGCTGTGTGACTCTGGCAAGTCACCTAACCTCTCTCAGGTGCAATTTCCTCATCTATAAAATGAAGGTAATACTAGCAACTTCTTCATTATGTTGTTGTGAAGATCAAATGAGGTAATCTTCAAAAAATGTTTTGTGAAACTTAGAGAGATATATAAATTCTGATTATCATCATCATCGTCATTGTTTCTATAACCTCATCAAGTGCTTTTCCTTGAACATCCACAGGAAAGACGAGCCCTCTTCTCCTCCCAAGGCTGTCCATTCTACTTTGGGATAATTCTAAATGGAGAAAGATTTTCTATACATAAAGCCCAAGTTTGCCTTTTTCCATCTGTCAGCCAATGCTCCATCTTCTTCCCTTGGGGATCAAGCAGAACAAATGTAATCTTTCTTTCATGTGATGGCTCTAGCAAAGATGTAAATATTTCCTCTTAACCTCATTGTATGTGTAGCCAGGTTAGAAGTTATGCTAAATCCAGTGGGTTTTCATAAATGACATCCTTATTTGCATATGTGCAGTTATACTTTCAGAGTGTCTTTCCAACTTTTCATGTCGTAACACTTTTCTTTCAAACAGGTCATTGAAAATCTTGGACCTTTGGAACTTATTCTCAACACCCCAAGCCATCATCGGGTTCACCATGGTGAGTAAGCATGGAGTCTATGTGTCATTGTTGTTTAAATTTGGACACATGCTTTTATTGCTAGTCTTTTGTGGAATTTTATTGGAATACAGCTATCAAATCAGAGCATTATGTTAAGAAGCCCAGTCCTGACTTGTATGCCTGGCTTGACCTCATCACCAACGCATGTAAGGAGAGAGTCTGCTTACCTTCTCCTCCTTGGCACCCCATCAGCTTAAGTGAACAGGAAAATGGATTAAGTAGCCGTGGGAATGATTCTCCAAGTGGCATGCAGTGGCCAAAACCCTTGGCACAGCGCCTTTTGGTGCTCTGCTCACACATGGATGGGAACATGTCCTGGGCAGTCTGGTTCCAGCATGCTCTTTGCCACATTACAGTACTCCTCTCCCCATCAGGCAGTTCCATCTGGGCCATGTGTACACATGTGAGATGGCTCCTATGTTTAACAGTTTCACTTATTCAGTTGGGAGAGCAGCTTTCTTGGACTTCTTCTGTGCTACCAAAGCTATTTAGACACTTCAAGATTAAGTGAGCTTTCTTCTCCTGAGGCAACAAATGGAGAAAACTTAGAGGAACATGAACGTTCTCAAGTCTCAGTGGATGATAGATTTAGAACTGGTGGAGACTTTATAAAGCATGTAGCCTAAACCTGACCTGTATCCCCTAATTTAATATACGATGAAATTGAGCATCAAAAGGTTAATTTGCCTAGTATCACACAGGTCTTAGGATACCAAATCTTATATTCTCTCCACAGCAACTTTCTGCATCGTAAAATTCTATATTTGTTTTTCCAAATAGAGAATTTCAGTTTCATTTATTAAAGTAGAATGATATTGGAAATAATCTGTGAGAGCTCTTATGATGATCGAATGAGATAGTATTTGTAAAGCACTTTGCAAACCTTCAATTTCCATAAATACTTGTTCTTATTATGGTTGTTGTTATGACTGCTAATATAAACAGTTTAATTGTAACTTTAAATCAAATTTGTTGTTGAATTGTTTCAGTTGTGTCTGACTCTTTGTGACCCCATTTGAGGTTTTCTTGGCAAAGATACTGGAGTGGTTTGCCATTTCCTTTTCCAGCTCATTTTACAGATGAGGAAACTGAGACCAACAGGATTAAGTGACTTTCCCAGGGTCACACAGATAATGTGTGGAGGCTAGTTTTGAACTCAGGAAGATGAGTTTTCCTGACTTAAGGTCTGGTGTTCTATCTACTGCCCCATCTGGCTATCTTCTTTAATCTAATCACTTAACCTTTCCTAGTTAAACATTCACATTATACTAGCAGTGGTCCCAAGGCAAGACTACTACTAGAAGACTTAATGTAAACAGATTAGAGTGTTTCTCTAAATGACGACAGTTTGTTGCTAACTTGTAGGGAAAGCTGAGCCAACACATAGTTGACAACAGTAGAGTAGGAACAGAATAGGCAGCTTTCAGAGATTTAATGTACATCATTGCATTTACTCATCTGGGGCAGAACACTCACAAACATCGATACTGATTTGACAAAAAATGACGGAGAAATTTAGAAGCTGCTCAATGAAAAACAAAAACTTCACAGGGTTTACATCTCTCTCTAAGAAGGCAGTATTTAACTCCATCAAAAGTAAAGTGCAAGTGAAGCTTAAAGAAGTGATGCATTCTTGGTTTGGTAAGAAGGCAGATGAAATTCAGTTTTATGCTAATAGTAACAATCCAAAGCATTTTTACAAGCCCTGAAGGCTATTTATAGGCCAAAGATCTATGTTGCCTCTCAACTATCCAGGGCTGATGGAACTACAGTGATTAGTGATAAAGACATGATCCTGGAGAGATGGGCTGAACACTTCCACACTATTCTCAATAGACCTCTTGAGACCCTCAACAATGCTGAAGTCATTGACTCTATGTATCAGGTTGAAGTCAATCTCTCACTAGCTGAATTTCCAACTGAATAAGAGATTTTGAATGCCATTATTCTCCTCTCATGTAGCAAAGCACCTGGTGCTGATTCTATTCCAGCTGAGATTTATAAGGCAGGGGTCCACCACTCATCTAAAAGCTAACTGAAATCTTTTGGATTTTATGGTGAGAGGAAGTTATCCCCTAGGAGCTGAAGGATGACTCTCTTGTCCATTTTATAAACAAAAAGGGAATAGGTTGCCCTGTGACAATCATGGGGAGGTGTCATCTCTCTTAGGCATTGCTGGTAATATTATTTTTGTTGTTGTTTGAGGATACAATTTTTTTGCATTTAAATAGTATTTATTTTTTCCCCAATTACATATTAAGAAAATCTTTTAGCATTTAGTTTTATAAGATTTTGAGTTCCTAATTTTTCTCATTCCCACCCTCCTCTCTCCTCTTCTGAAAATGGTAGGCAGTTTGATATTGTGTATACACACGCTATCATGTAAAACATATTCCCATATTCATCACAGTTGTGGAAGAAGAAACAGATCAAAAGGAAATAAAACCATGAGAAAGAATGCTGGCAAGATTCCCGATAGAGTCCTCCTGAAGACACTGATCCTTTACCTGGAAGATGGTCATCTACCAAAGAGCCAGTGTAGCTTCAGAAAAGGCTGAGGAACAGCCCATGTGGTGTTTGTTGCCCCAACAACTCCAGGAGAAATTCCAGGAGCAGAACAGAGGTCTGTACACAACATTCATCAATCTGACCAGGCCTTTGAGATTGTCAATTGTGAGGGCTTGTGGAAGATCATGGCAAAATCCGGTTTCCCAGAGAATTTCATTAGAATTGTACACCAGTTCCATGATGGCACGCGTGCATGGGTTCTGCATAATGGAAAACGCTCTTGTGCTTTTCTCAGTCACTGGAGAAGTGAAACAGGGCTGTGAACATACTCCCATGCCTTTTAGAATGATGTTTTCAGTGATGTTGCCAGATACCTTCAGGGAGGATAAAAAAAAAAAGGCATCAAAGTCAGCTACTGAGCTGACAGTAATTACTTAACTTGAAAGGACTATAAGCCAAGACTAGAGGGAAGAGGGAGTTGGTGTATGACTTTTTGTTTGCAGATGATTATGCACTCAGTGCAGCCTCTGAGGCTGAGATGCAACAAAATATGGATCAATTCTCTACCGCACTTCTACTAATTTTGGCCTGACAATTTATACCAAGAATAAAGAGGTTCTCCACCAGCTAGCACTGCACCATCCATATGTGGAACCATCAGTTACAGCTAATGAAGAAATACTGAATGCTGTGCATAAGTTCAGTTATCTTGGCAGTATACTTTCCAGGGGCGTACACATACGTGATGAAATTGAAACATGCATTACTAGCTCTAGCTCAGTGTTTGGGAGGATCCAAAGAAGAGTGTGGGAGAAAAGAGGTATTAGGCTGCCTACCAAACTGAATGGCTGTAGAGTCATTGTGCTGACCTTGTTGCATGACTGTGAAACCTGTACATTATGTTAGCAGCATGCCAGGAAACGGAATCGATTCTATTTGAATTGTCTTAGGAAGATTCTGAAGATCACCTGGCAAGATAAGGTACCGGACATTGAGGTCCTTTCTAGAGCTGAGCTTCCAAGAATGCAAACTCTGTTGCAGAGAGGAAACTACAGTGAGCTGGCCATGATGTTCAAATGCCTACATTTGTCTACAAGGTTATTTTCTGAAGAAGTCACACAAGGCAAATGCTTTCATAGAGGTTAAAAGAAGCAAAACACAAAGAAATTATAAAAACAAAAAGGAAAAGGACCCATATGTACAAAAAATATTTATAGCAACTCTTTCTGTGTTGGCAAAGAATTGGGAATTGAAGGAATTCCCATCAATTGGGGAATGCCTAAGTGAGTTGTGATATATGAATGTAATGGAATACTATTGTGCTATAAGAAATGATGAGCAGATGGACTTCAGAAAAACCTGGAAAGACTTGTATGGTCTGATGCTGAGTGAAGTGAGCAGAGCCAGGAGAACATTGTACGCAGTAAGAGCAACAATGTGTGATGACCAACTTTGATAGACTTAACTCTTCACAGCAATGCAAGGATCTAAGACAAGTCCAAAAGACTCATTATGGAAAATGCTACCCACAGCCAGAGAAAGAACTATGGAGTCTGAATGCATATGGAAGCGTACTATTTTCTTTTGTTGTTTTTTTTTCTTTATTGTGGTTTTCCCCTTTTGTTTTGATTCTTCTTTTACAACATCACTAATGTGGAAAGTTGTTTAATATGATTATGCATGTATAGCCTATATCAGATTGCATGCCTTCTTCAGGAGGGGAGAGGAGAAGGAGGGGGAAATTTAGAACTCAAAATCTTATAAAAGTGAATGTTGAAAACTAAAAATAAATAAATTAATAAAAGATAACTGGTTGACATTTAATAAGGATATATATATACATATATTTGTAAATGAAACAATAAAAAGCAAGCCTTTTTTTAAAAAAAGAAGCAATACGAGGACATTCTCAAGGTCTCTCTAAAGAACTTTGGAGTCAATGGTGAGACATGGGAGACACTGGCATAGATCATCCACATCAAAGAAGGCCCAGTGCTCCATGAGCAAAGCAGAATTGCAGTGACTCAAAAGAAATATGAGATGTGCATATTTAGAAACATCTTCACTCCAAATGTTCACATGGACTATTTGTGCCCAACCTGTGGTAAAGCCTTCCCATCTCCTATTGGTTTGAACCAGCTACAGTCAGATGTACAGTACTTCAACCCCAATAGAGTGGTCATTTTAGTCCTCTTCAAGCATGAAGGACAAAAACTAATAGTGCTTTGTCTTATTTTTAATTCATATTCCAATAAATGTGAACTTTTACTTTAAAAAAAATCCTTAGGTATTTAAATACTTCTAAAAAAAAATTCCAAGAATGATTGTTGTTCATGGTCTAACACAAAAAGCTTCAAAATCACAGAAACAAATGATAATAATCTCATTAGACTTAAATAGAAAAAAAATAGAGATAAGAAATCATGAGTCAATATATTTTGAGTAGAAATTCAGTGTAGTGTATTGAAATTGGTTGTGAACTGAAAGGCCTGAGGCTGACAGTTATCAGTTGTGTGACCCTGGGCAAGTCATATAATTTTTCTGAGTCTCAGTCTCCCAAACTCAGCTCTACAATGAAGTTGTTGTTTTATTAGGAATTCTTACTGTGTTTTTGTGGGAAAAAAAAAAAAAAAACACTTCATAAGCACAATAGCCAGAAATGGAATTATAGTAAGCATTTGTCTTAGTACATTGCTATTAGTGAGGCAACAACCCCAGAAAAAACATGGTATTTCTGAAGTCTTGATATTATATACGTATTTAACAGGGTTAGGCTAGCAGCTGTTTCAATATTTTAATTTCATTCTTTGTCTTTGGTGGTAATTTTTTTTTATTTTTGTCTTTTAGGCAGAAACCGTTCTTGCATAGACAAAAATTTTGCTGGCACCCTTATTATTTGGGATAGAATTTTTGGTAAGTAGTATTAATGTAAATCAGGCAAGCAAATTCATATTCTTATCAGCATAAATGAAGTGAATGGTTTCTCAAGTTTCACTCTTTAAATATCTCTTCCAGGAACATTTGAAGCAGAAAAGGAAAAGGTTTCATATGGCCTCACCCACCCCATTAACACCTTTGAACCACTCAAAGTACAGGTATGACTAATTTCTTTCATTCTTGGGGAATGGGTTAAATACAGCCATCAAATCAGACAAGCATTTATTAATTATCTCCTCCTCTCTGCAAGTGAGAGAGAGAGAGAGAGAGAGAGAGAGACAGACAGACAGAAACAGAGAGGCAGGCACAGAGAGAGATGGAGAGATGATCAGAGGGAGGGTGGAGGTCACATGACTTTTCCACAGTCACACGTGAGGGCCAGTATGCATCATGGTCAGTGTGTGAATCCAGGGCTTCCATACTCTGAGCATGGCTTTCTTTCTCTACATGGGACCCTCAAATATAAAAACCAAGAGGTTCTTCAGGTGATATAGCCTTCATTCATTAGAAAATATAAGTAATTATAAATTTATAAATACATATATTTATAAAAATCTATCCTGCGTGGTTCCCTACCCGGTGTACCTTGAACTAATCAAGCAGTTTAATCAATCAACAAGCTTGTATTAAGCCCCTATTCTATGTCAGGTGGGGCAACTAGGGGGCACCATAGTGCACAGAGCCCTGGGCCCGAAGTCAGGAAGACTTATCTTATTCATATTGACCTCAGACACTAACTGCATGACCTTGGGCAAGTCACTTAATGCCATTTGCCTCAGTTTCCTCATTTGTAAAATGAGCTGGAGAAGCAAACGGCAAAGCATTCCAGGATCTTTACCAAGAAAATCCCAATTGGGGTCACAGAGAGTCAGATGTGACTAAGACACCATAGAACGACAATGTGTCAGGCACTGTTTTGGATTCTGGGGATGGAAAAGACGATTTATGAACCAATTCCTAATTGATACAAGCATATATGCTACCTTAAGAAAGCTAGTGGGGTCAGTAACCACTTCTACTTAAGGCCAAATGTCAGAAATAATTACAACTGGAAGAGGGTTTAGATAAGACCAGGACTCTTGGATGACTTGGAATTCCATCTATTAGCTGGATGGGATTGTCTGTGGCAGTTATATTTTCAGTGGTCACATGAGAAAAGACGAGGGCCTAAAGTTCAGCTCAAGGAGCTTACATGTATGACTTAGTTCACAGAGAGGGAGGGAAGGAATTGGAAATCAAGATAGTTGAGCAATAATAATTTTTTGGAATAGTCTTAAAACTGGAGAGTTCAAAGGGAGTTTTAGATCAAGGAGATACAGATTAAGGTGGGTGGGCCTTCTTCAAACTCACATCTTCCAATTCTACAAATAATGTCTGCTCTGAGCTAAACTTATACACACACACACACACACATATACATGTATATATACATAGAGATAGATATGAGAATATTTATGTATGGGAATATCTATATCTGTCTGTATTGAAGGAAGCTATTCACCTCTCTTTCCTTCTCAGTGTCATAACCCTGCCTTCAATAGTTTTAGCAATTTGTTGATTATGTAGATCAAGATACATTATGGAGTGTAGATGATAAACTCCGTAAGTGTTGAGTGAAAGCAAAGTTCATTGTAAACTAGGTTACCAGTTAAAAGTGTGAAGAAAGAGGACTTCTGTTGAGCCCTGAAGGGTGAGCTAGATTTTGACAGAATATTCAAATAGTCAAGATTTTAGTAATTGCCTACTATGTATGCTTTAAATTACTATCTAGTTCCCTACAAAATTCAGCTGATGTGCTTTCTTTTTCCTTTCTTCCTTTCCTTCCCTTCCTCCTCTTTTCTTTCTGTCCTTCAATTCCTTCCTTATTCCCTTAACAACCCCCTGCCCCCCACCTCCCCATTCCTCATGTATTTACCAAGTATTTACTCTGGGAAATGAACCGTGCTCAGTCACCCTGCAAGGGCGACAAAAAAGGCCAAAACAGCATTTCTGAGTTTTGAAGCATGTAGTATATGATGTAGTCAATTACTCTCCTTTTGCAAAAATATTCTGTTGTATTTGTATTCAGTTCTTAGCTGTTTTATTCAATTTCTAACTCTTGAGCCGGGTTATATTTCTAACCTCCCAGATGAAATACTGCTCCTTCCCACCCCCCATATCTCCTAAACACATTTATTATCTTCATTAATTGCTGCAATGCCCCTCTGTTCTACACTCATGCTTAGGGCACAATGCTATTCTCACCCTTTCCCTCCAAATAGATAATCTCCAATACTGTCCTGATCCATGGGCCTTTGTCCTACTTCCCTAGTTGCTTTCGATTTCTTCCTATGATTCTGTCAATGAAATGTTGAGGGCTAGCAGTTTAAGTTATCAGTTAACACTGGTTTCAAGTACAACTAACATGAAGTGAAACAGCCTCAAGGCTATCACAATTTTCTGAGTACCTGTAAAGGGTTACTTGAATTCCAGTAGTGTGTCTACTAAGCTGGCACTGGGACGTTCTATGCTTGCCTTTTCATTGGCCAGCATTTGCAAAACTATGTTGCCTATACACTGTAACATTTAAAAAACAACACATTTTGGCAAATAATGTTTAAAAAGGTGTATTATCTATTGTTCAGTTATTCAGTTGTGTCCAACTCTTTGTGACCCCATTTAGTGTTTTCTAGGCAAAGCTAGTGGAGTGGTTTACCATTTCTTTCTCCATTTCATTTTACAGATGTAGAAACTGATGCAAACAGGGTTAAGTGACTCAAACAGAGCTGCACAGCTAGTAGCTGTCTGAGGTCAGATTTGAACTCAGGAAGATAAGTCTTCCTGACTTCAGGCCCAGCACTCTATCCACTTTGCTACTTTACTGCCCCATAACCACCACCATTCACTTACAACATGCACATGGACAAGAGCACGCAAACTTTATTTTGTCATTAGAAATGGAAACCCAGAGTGCCAACTGATAGCTGATACTTCTGGAAGGTGTGTCTCTTAAAAAGATTTTTCCACTACAATGGTTTCTTAAATAATTTTTCTGCCCTTTCAATATAATCAGGGAAATATTTTTCACCTAGAGAAACATTGTAGAGAATACAATTGGGATTCATCAAAAATACTTGTCCCAACATGCATATTGTTTCATTCAAAAAGCTTCCCCTTCTAAGGCACTTGATGTTCAACTGCTTAATTTATTGGTGTGGTCAGAAAGCTTTAAGGGAAAGAACCATTCACCCCAAATTCCATGTGATAGTGAAAGGAAATATAATGCTTTGGTTACATATTTATTTAAACTTTTCCTTACCTAAGGGAAAAAAAGTGAGCTATACTTCCCCTTCCTCCACAGTTCCATCACTTGCATTATATTTGGACCACATTTTGGATCACACCTGGGTTCTGGAACAAGTTGTCTGTCATATTCAAAGGACCAGGATGGAGTCCTGGCAAACCTAGGCTTGGTCTTCTTGAGGAAATCCCTGAGGTGAGGAGAATTCCCACATCCTGATTTACTTTCTCATAGCAACTTTCTACTTTACAGGAGCCATTTACTGTAAATTAGAGGTAAGCAACATGGAGACTTTGAAAATGGGGGAATTAAGAAAGGAGAGGTGGATTGGAATTTCTGCTTGCCCCCTCCCCCGCCCCAACATAAAGAATTCATTAAATGTCAAGCATTTTTTTCTGAATGTTATGATTGCTTTTTTGAATAAAGAGAATTAAGGGTAATATAAAACAAAGCAATTCTGATGGAGAGCTCCCATGCAATTCCAGTCTAGTTCTATCTGTAAGGAATAAGCATTGTTTAAGATGTAAGTGCCATTTAATGAATCAGCATTTCTTAATCTGGTTGCTATGCTTGCTAGACACTGAGGCTATGAAGATGACAGTAAATGAGTCCCTGCCCTCAAGGAGCTAACATTTACTTTTCTTAAAAAAAAAAATTAGGAAAGAAACATTCATTGTAAGTCAAAGTTCCCCATTTCAGCTCCTGTGCCATGAAAAGAGAAGATTAGTAATTGCTTTGTTACTCAGTAGTGTAGACAATGATTAGATAATTCAGATAAATTGAATTCAATTTAAGGCCTGGTTCATCTAGAATGGTTAACTACTCAGTCCCGATTAATTGTCTAGTTTGATAATTGTCTACCTTCCAACCTCTGGTAGGGCCAAGGTTGGACCTGAGTAAGATCTGTGGGTCTGGTTAGCATCCGCTTAATTTGGGGAGAGGAGACAGGCCTGCTTAGGTGAGGATTAAAGGTATGGAGTAGCCATGTTTAGTCATGAAATGGTGAGATACTCTGCTGGAGTGGGTAGAAAAGAGAGCAAGAAGAAAAGGGGATGTGTCTATATTGGCAAAAGGGTAGAGACCAGGAATTAGTCACAGCAAAGGCCATGATGGGGCTAATGAAAATCAAGGCTTACCATTTAGGCCATAAGATTTGGTGTCCTGGTCAAATTGTAGCATTTTTTAAAAATCTGGACATAAATTCAATATTATATGACTGTTCATTTTGCAGGCTTTTATGCTCTACTCAAATGTAGCTATCCTAGTTGCTTTGTTCAGCTGGAGAAAACCTGCCTCTGCTGCCCTCACTCATCTTCTCTGGTAGTAGCTGGTTATCCCACCTTCCCCTTTGTCTGATGTTAGAGTTCACTGTGATGTTAATGTTGATGGGTGGGGAAAGAGGCTAACTGGCCATGGCCATCCATTGCTCATTCGTTTTCATGATCAGGATGAGCTGCTGCTTTGTTCTTTGGTGATTTTTATTATTTTGAGATGAAATCCATCAGTGACTGACCTAGTAGAGCTCAACAGCACTGTCCAGGTCAGCTAAGATACAGCCCATACATTTTATGACTATAGGGACTGAGACACTTGACAGTGGTTGCTAACTAGGACTTCTTGTGACCAGAACACTTCAGTTTGAGGAGAGAATAGGATAGCCTGCCCTCATTAGGAGAAGTCATACTGGGAGAATGGAGGGACTGTTCCTGAGAGTTCAAATCTAGCCTTATTGGTACTGCTAACTTTGATGTCTAATTCCTGAGAGAAAATAGAGAAGGGGGATAGCAGACAGGGGTCTGCAGATGGTAGAGGCTTGCCTGATAGGTTCAGAGATGTCAATAGTTTGAAGCAGAGACCCAGTGACCTCACATTTGTTGTGGTTGTGTTCAAATTAAGACTAGAACTTCTAACACCTAAATATTATTCTAACTAGGAATTGCTATATTTTTTTAAAGAAGTGGCCATTCTCATAATGCTATTATCCATGTCCCTGCCTTGTTTGTTGAGGACCTATACAACATAGCTATATTACCAAAGATGGGATTAGCTGATGAGAAGGACATTTCTCTCCTTGCTGTAGGTCACAGGAAAAGAAGTCCCCTATGCCACCCATGTGTCTGGCTCACTCCAGCTGTATGCCCTTGTGCAGTTTGCTCTGATGCTTGGTTTTTATGAGGACACATTTGCTGACAAAGGCGTAAGTAATTCTCCCATGTCTAGCTAACTAAGGGGTGAATGATCTAGTCCCTTGTTTTCCAACTCACTCATTGTATCAAGTCTATTACTCTGATTTAATTCATCTCAGGAAGGGTCTAAGTCAATCTTGGAAAAAAAAATCATGTTGAGGGATTTGAATTCAATTCACATGGAACCCCTAAAACACTGATTAGGATATGTCATCAAGGGTAGTTGTTGGGAAGGGCCCATGTCCAATGGTATCTCAGGAAGTTTTATAAATTAGTAAGCCTAGGCATAACTGATGACTGGAAACTGCCTTTGGGATTGGGCAGAACCAAGTTCTAAACTAGGGAATAAAATATTTTTTTTTTTGCAGAAGCACACTTTTATTTTCCTTTCTTTCTTTGTATCTTCATTCAAAGAATAGACTCATATATTCTCATCAAGACATATTTACAGAAAGGTTCACTATCATTGTGTCCCAGTCTTAGATCCTTGGATTTGTGGTAGCTATGAGGAAGACTATGGAAAGGGCTCATGGGTAACTTACAAATTCATCAAGGAGAGAAGACATGACTATACACAATTACAACATCAATTTCATATAGAAAAATGCAAAAAGAGAAACACAATTAATTTGGAGGGGAAATAAATTATTTCTGGCTGTGAGTCATCAGGAAGGTGCCACAGAGAGGATGACATTAGGTTCAGTGCATAGTTTGTGGGACATGGAATTTGGAAGACATGTTCAAATCCTGATTCTCTACACTTATTAGTTGTGTGATACTAGACTTAACCTCTTTGAGTGCCAATTTCCTCTCTTGACAAATGAAGGAGTTGGACTAGATGATCTCTAAAGTCCCATGAAAAGGGGGTAAGCATTAGGTTAGCAGAGTTGGGAAGGCATTCTACATTAGGGTGAAAATAAGAGGTAAGAAAACACACCATGATAGAGTGTGCGCCATTTTGAGCTCATGGGAGCAATGTGTCTAGAAAAGTAATTTTGACTCAAGTGGCAGAGGTCTTCAAGTCTAAACAAAGGAGTTTGGATTTCTATAGATATTGGAGAACTTTGACATTTTAAATCAGAGACATGACAAGAAGAGAGCGATTCTTTTGGAAGGTTCCTCTAGCAACAGGATGTAGTGCCAACTGGAACAGAGGAAGAAGGAGCTCTGAAAATGAAAATAAGATTCAGAGACACAAATGCACCAATCCAGACAAGAGATGGTGGTGATACCTTAGTTAGAACAGTAAGCCTGAAGTGGGAGGGCTTGAAGGAGAGTGTATTGAAAAAGAGTTCATAGGATATAAAGAATAATTGGGTGGATGTTGGGAAGAGAAGGATGAGTCAAAAATTAATCCAAGGTTGATGGACAGAGAATGGTGGCACCATTAAGAGTAAAAGAAAGGAAGAGGGTGGATTTGGTTTGAGAACTGATGAGATTAACATGTCAGCAGAACATTGAGTCAAAAGGTCCACAAGAAAGTTGAAAATTAAAACAAAACAAAGCAAAGCAAAACAAAACAAAACAAAATTAAAAAAAAAAACACTTGGCCTCAGGCAAATAATTGGGCCCAGAAATATAGATATGTATCATTCTTAGATGTAAAATATTAGAAATGGTGAACATCAATAAGCTAACAAAGGACCGAAGTATGAAGGACAAAAGAAATATTCTTGGATGACATTCAACATTTAGAGCTGAGGTTCTTAACTTGGATCTCATAGACCCTCTTGGTGGCAGTCTGGCAAAGTCGATGGAATTTTTCTCTGACAACAAAAAGAAGTAAAAGGAAATCAATTATATTGAATTATAGTTATTAAAATATTGGGGAAAACACGGGTTCATAGATGATAACTTAAGAGCCCTTGATTTTGAGAATTATGAACCTCTGGTCTTCCTGACTCCAAGTCTGGGGTTGTAGCTACTATGGAACTGATATGAATCTTCATGAAGCCATGAAGAATCGTCATACTCAAAGTAAGGAGTGTTTTAATTTTGTTCTCAAAACAAATATGTGAACATAGAAAAACATTTTTTTTTCTTAGTGAGGCAATTGGGGTTAAGTGACTTGCCTAGAGTCACACAGCTAGGAAGTATTATGTGTCTGAAGCCAGATTTGAACTCAGGTCCTCCTGACTCCAAGGCTGGTGATTTATCCACTGTGCCACCTAGCTGCCCCTGAAAAACATTTTTTTTTTAATGAATAAACTATCAACCCAAATATAGTAAATTGTCTTATCTGCTGTGATCAGGAAACAAGGAATCCTGGTTGATTATATACTCTGAATGGTGGGAAGATTCCCTAGAATTTTTTGATGATAGAATGTTGTTGAGACCCATTTGTGTTTCAAGGCTATTTCGCAAAATCTATGTATGCACATTTACATGTTGTCAATTAAAAAAAAAAATTTGACTGTGGGTACAATAACAATACCTTTTGTTTCTGTTTTGTTTTGCTTTTACCCCAAACTTAAATAAAATCCTCGTGTTCACACTCTCTTCACATCTGCTAGAAAGCCTCCTTTGGATACATTTGAAGAAATGCTGAGTCATAGGAGAAAATGGTCACTCCACCTCCCATTTAGTGGAATGGAAAAATGCCCTAGCCATTCTATTCCACATTGAAAAAAAAATCTTGAGATTATAGTACATGGAAATGTACTTTTTATTATAAGGAGCTTTCCCATGATAAAGCCAGTTTTCTTCTTATTTCAGTCATCTTTCTGATACTTTAATAAGTCCATGATGTTATCAATGGAGCTACTCCTCAAATGGTGCAAAGCCACCCCCCCCATCCCAACTTATCCTGGGTAATGTTCATCCATGTCCCTCTAACCTATTGCACAAAGTCTTTTTCTGAGTATTTTATTATTTTCTAGGCATCAGTGTACCTCTTGGTTGTTCATCTGTCATCTCTAATTTTGAGAGATTTCATTAATATAAAGAAATCCCCACAGATGGTGATTTTATTTACAATGGTGAACTTTAGATAATGCCTAGAGCACTAGGTAATGAAGGGAATTACTTGTCCAGGAACACTTAGATAGGACTTTCTGACACCACAGCCAGCTCTCTACCTTAAAGCATGCTGTGCAATTGGGGTTAAGTGACTTTCCCAAGGTCACACAGCTAGTAAGTGTCAAGTGTTTGGTCTGAGGTCGGGTTTGAACTCAGATCCTCCTGACTTTAAGTCCACTGCTCTACCCACTGTGCCACCTAGCTGCCCTTCTCACATCACTCTTACTGACACTCCAATAGTTCTACAGTCTCATCTATTTGGCCATTCCTTTTTAGCACTGAAAATCACGACCCATCCATGGCTATCTCATCCATGTGAGTCTCCTCCATGTCCTCACACAAAATTGCTGCAGGGGCTCTAACTATGTTTCTGCAGGCCATTCTCAATTTTTTTTCTTTGTTAAAATTGTATCTTGTTCTGTTCCCCCTAACCACTTTCTCAACTTTTCATCAGTATAGTAAGTTTATAAGGAGCCACCGTAAAGGGACAATAAGAGGAAATAAGATCAGTAAGGGGAATCTGGAAGTTCTGTACAAACCATCCCATAGATGAAAGAAGTACAATTTACATACTAACTGTATTATATATTAACTAATATTCACATCCTAGTGATATTCACATCCTGCTAAATCAGCAGAAGCCACTTAGGTGCTGCTGTCAGTGTTCTAGTCTTATGCTACGTAAGTTCCAGACGAATTCCAGACCTCTACAATTCCAGAGTAGTAGAGCATCAAAAAATGCTGAAAACTTTGAGATGATTTGGATATGTTAATGAACTTACCCCAAGGTGGCACATATAGGAGTTGGTCTGTTTTTTCCCTAAAACCCTATAAAAATGATACCTCAAACTCCTGCCCCAAAGCCCTCTTCTACCTCCATTGGGTTTATGCTGCCTAGTGCTACCAACTCTAATCTGTAGCTACTTATCCTTGTGCCTTATTAAAGTGGTCTTGCAGGCTTTCTTCCTACTGTCAATCATTGCTGTTCTTGAGTACCCAATGAACTGGGTGTGCCTTCCCTCATTTCATAATTTAATGAATGAATTATCAATTAATTTTCCAAGTGATGTGGATGCCAATGAATCTGACAGTGTATTTCTTCCTCTCATGTGACTAATTTTTTTTCCTCCTGGTTACACATGTATCTTATAATATCCTTTATATCGATTATCTTGTGCAATTATGCAGTGTGTTGCAGCCTGTACACACCCACAATGCATCTGTGCATTGCCCTCTGTATGTTCTCTTGATTCATTTCTTCAGGGCTTCCCTCCTCATTGCAGATCTATGATTCCCTAACACAGAGACATGCAGTGTCACTGGAAGAAGATTGGTATAAAAAATATGAGCCTTTATTTTCAGGGAGAAGGATGGGGTTATTAAGAGAACATTGCTATTGCCCAAAGGCTGCTTTCTTCTTCTTCTCCTTTCATTCAGTGCTGACTCTGACTCATTTTCCATTTTCAGGGTTTGTGCTACTAACTCTTAGATAAGCCCCATTGGGTGTCTATTCAAATGCCTTCCATGGTCTGGACAAAAGACATTCTTCATCCATTTGTTTTGAAGTTTGTTTTGTTTTGTTTTGTTTTTCCTGTGTGGATAACCAGGCTGAACTCCTTGAAGTGATTAAGGATCACATTTAGGAAGGTCTCTTATGTTTATGATTGTTGTAATTTTTTAAATACTTGATTTGATGGTCAAGAAAAATTTCCAGAGGATTTTTGTAAGATGGCATCACCCTTTACATATGTAACCTGGCATTTATTTACTATGTGCCAGATGGAATTTGAATCCAAGAAGACTTTTCACCACAGGCAGGACTTTCCCAACAATGGCATCTCTCTGGACAATACAGGATGCATTTAGTCCAGTAGACTAAGTATTGGCTCTGGAATCTCAGGTTCAAGTCCCTATTCCACGACATTGGGAAAAGTGTTCCATTCTTCTGGGCATCAGTTTCCTTATCTGCAAAAATGGGGCGGGGGTGAACAAC